TTTACTTTTGTTTAAAACGGCATGGCTGAAAAAAATAAATATAAACAGCTGATTGCAAGCCATCCTCTCTTTATCTCCCCCATAAACTGCACCTGTAGTTGCACACTCACTTGCCTCTCTCTTCGTGCTCTCATTCATTATTTAGATAAGCTTATAGACTGGGGATTACTCTACGTTTTTCTAGCATACTTAGAAGTGATAAAAAGAAGAAAAACCTTACTGAAAGGGTATTTAAGTCGACAGATTTTCCACATTTGTGCATTATCATTAACTCTTACAACATAAAACATAAACATTTATGAGAATATTGAGAAAGGGTATCAAAAATTCGACCCTGCTCTACATAATCCCATTGCATTTCGCATGAAATTTCAATTGGGATTTTGTCTTCACGTTTTAAAAGCACACAACACTATATATAATGTGATGTTGGTTGTGTTTTTTGTTTTCCTTGTTATTTTATCTCGTTTCACTTTTTTGTACTTGTTGTTCTGTGCTTTGTGCAATATGCACTGCTGTTGTTGTTGCAGTTGCATATGTAGTTGTAGCTTTTGTAGCTGTGTGTGTTGCCACTTCTAAATATACTCCCCAAAGCCATGCACGATTTATAAATGCGTCTAAAAATAGAACAGCAAAGCAGCGCAGCTAGCAGCGCAGCAGGTCACGGCCTGTTCAGTTAGATATGCACCGACGACACACACACACTTGTACTTGTAGATACACCCACAGTTGCGGTCAAAATTATAGTACCTTGACCTAAAGTAATAGTGATATTCTAAAATATAAATCTATTAATCTTCTAATTAATTAGAACATTTTTGTTTAATTTTATTGGGGAAAAGTTTGAAACATTCAAACAAACGTACATTATGCACATCTTTTTTTTTGTTGTTTTTTGTTTTTTTTTGTTGTTTTTGGGCTTTGCTCTTTGTTGTTCTATTTTTAGAACCGCCACATAGCCCAAATATTCAATTGAAATCAATTTCTAGACCAAAAAACTCGACTTTGCTGATTAGATCAGCGCTTGGCAGAGAGAGAAAGATAGATCAAAATAACAAAGAGAGAAAAAGAGAAGAATCATTACTAATTGGACTTTTCGGTTAGTCATCTCTGCATTCTTATTGGCACGCAATTAGTCCAGTAAAATAATGAAGATTAAGAGAGAATCCTAGTCTCTCTTCCTCTCTCGCTACAAGATTTATCAATGAAATATTTTCCAACCGATTTTTCCCCAGTTTTCCGATTTTTTATTTTTTCATCACTTCTGGTTGGCAGCAAATCAAATTCGAGCGGTGGAAAAGAGAAGAAAGAAAAGGGTGAGACAGAGAGAGAGAGAGAGAGAAAAAGAGAAATAAAAGTTGCTTGGGCGTCACGTGCGACAAAACAAGAGGAAGAAAAAGCTAAAGCAAAAGTTGAGAGGAAATCGTTGTAATCGCTGTTAACTTGTACTGCACAAGGTTACTAAAAATAGTCAATACACTGAAAGAAACGATAAACACTCTTTCTTATGTTTCTTTAATTTCTGCAAAAATAAACTAAAGTTCGTTCATACATCTTAATATGAACTTTAGTAGTGAACAAGAAGTGGTATTAAAACTTCAAAATATATAAGTGAAATTATTTAAATTTTTTTTCCTGTGTATATACACACACACACACACATTCACAAACACAAATGCCAACCATCGAGGTCCAACGCGTCGACAAAATACGTTTTAGATTTATTTTTAAAAGCGTCTGATAAGCGCGGCGGCCTCTTATCTACATAATCGGTTCAGCGAGCGAGTCACACCTCCTCCAGATCCAGATCCATTTCCAGAGAGAGAGGCCCTCTATCTACCTATCTATCTATCTACGTATATATATATATATATGGACGAAATCTATATCCCTCTCTGAAAAAACGTTTCAAATTCGCTCGCTCAGTTGTGTGTTTACATTGTCAATTCGCAGATCTGCCATCAGAAGCCGGAAGCGATGAGCGATTGCTGCACATAACGCCGGGCACTCTGACATTGGACTTCAAGCCCCATCCAGCGCCGGATATCGATCAGCAGATCATGGAGGTGAGTCTATTCCCCTTATATCGATAAGAATCCGATCTTAAAGGTTTCATGATGAAATAGCACTCTCTATGTTGTTTTATTTTCTGAGCTAATATCAGTCTTCATTTTAGCTATGAGTAAATTTGATAGTTGATTAGCACATTTGAAATATTATAAACTAATAAAATCATTCAAAACCTAATGGAATTAATAATAAATAAGAGAAGAACAAGTTGATATAGAGCTTCATGAAATATCTTTTGGCAAAACTCTTGTTTCCAGGGGCATGAAAATAAATCGTTGGGGTTATCAGCATTTCAGAACTTTTTTTTTTTTGATGACTAGTTTGCTTGGTTTATGTTGTTAAATATAAATTATATCGTCATCATAATCGTCATTAAAGGCGTATAGCGGTATTCAATTTTATTTTGGTTTGATTAAATAGGAAAAGTGCAGGCTTGGGGTGTGTTATTATGTTGAGAAATATTCAGAGTTTTAGTTTAAAGGACCTTTAATTTCAAGGATATTTAGACCACTTTTCCAGACAACTAGCCAGCTTTTTTTTGTTGTCCAGTTTCTCCAGCTGGCTTTTTCATATTTCCCTTGTTTCTTTCATCTTGTTTTATTTTTGTTGAGCTTTTTCGCTTTCCGCTTTATTTATACTTTATTCGCCTGGCTCTTGTGCTTGTATATGTTCTGTTTAGTATATGTTAGTATGTGTGTGTGTGTGTGTGTCGATGGGATGCTGCTCCTCATGTTGGGAGTCTAAATTTAAACGCGTGTACAACTTAATGATTCTATATTTATTGTTTTCACTACGAAAATATGTATGAGTTTTTGCGCATTTTTTAAATAAAATCCTCTAAAAATAGACAGAAACCGAGTCAAGAGAGCCGCACAGCGAGCGAGAAATGTCGGAGAAGATGCCAGTGCTGAGGATATATAGATAACACTGCCTATGATGGACACCCCTATGGTGTTTAGGAAGTTTTTAAAAAGATAACAGATTGAGTTTTGAAACCATATATATAACTGCTAAAAAGTATGCTATGAAATGTTAGCTTACTTTCACAAGAATAGTTAATGTTACTTTAAAGATAAAACTACAAAACCTCTGATAATATTAGATATATATTTTTAATCCTGCTAGTGAGTGTCTTCTGTACCAGACGAAATTTGTTTGTGACTTCGTCTCTCTATGACTTGGGCCCACTGTAGCCGGGCATGATGGCCAGCATGTGCAGCAGGCCCACCTGCTCGACCCTCTTGTTTCCCCATCCCTGCCACGCCCCTCTTTGCCCCACCAACGCCCCTGTCTTCTTTGTGGGTCGGCTCTTCTTCTTATTTCTGGTACCGCTTGCATTCAATTTATAGTCTTGGGGATTTATTTATGCCTCGATTTTTGGCTGCAGTTTGCTTTCTTATTTTTGTCGTAATTTGTGTTTTCCTCTTTTTTTTTCCTCGTCGCATTTCTTTTGTTTTGTTTTCGTTTGAAATCTTTATTTTTAGCATTAAAGAGTGTTTTATATGCAGCATTATGTTCAACGTGTTCTTCTTCTACTTTTTCTGCCTGCCACACCCCACCGCCCACCGGTTTTTTTTTAACCCACTGTACACGGAAAGAAAATGCCCAGAGGGGTAGGTCTTGAATATTTATATTGCAATATTTTTTAGACGTAGAGTCAAAGGTTCTACTGTTTTGTGAATCTAACGAATGAAACTTACTTTTTCTGTCATTTTTGGGCTAATTTTACAAGATTTAATTTTTGTCCAAATTTTGCATATTTTGATAAATAAAAATTTGCATCCAAATTTTCGAAGAATGGCACAAATTTGACATTTCCATCTGTGAATGCAGTTTTCATAAGAATAAGAAAACAAACTCAACGAGGTATTACATTCCATATTTGGACCATTTTTGGCCAAGTTATAAGCAAAATACTGTCATTGTGGGAAGACCAAATCGATGTTAACCAAAATTTGCATTTTTGATAGCACCAGGACTTAATGCAATTCAAAAAAAGATAAAGATTGTTTTCTGTGTAATTTGCCCATTTTCATCCCATTTGAGCTGCCTTCGTTTTTCATCAACGCGCTTGCCGTTTTTGTTATTTTCGGTTTTTCCTTTGAATTTATTTTGGTTCTTTTATAAACTCTGCGGGTTTTATTTTTAAAAAGAACACACATACACACACAGTTGACTGGTTAGATCACGCACACACACAAACAATTGCCAATCAGTGAAAATGTTTTATTGAATTCCTCAGTCTATTTTCCTTTTAGCATTTTGTGTGTTCTGTTTTCGTTTTCCGTCTTTTCTTTTTCGTTTGTATTTGTTCTTTCGGTTTCGGTGGCACGAGCAAAATGCAAATTAGCAAAAATTGATGGGCGAGTGGGTGGTAGGTAGGTAGATGGTGGAAGATGGGCGGCATAGTGGGGGTGGTGGTTGACAAGATCTTAATGAAGATGATCATTGATCTTTGATCTTCGCAGCACAAATTAGGCAAGAATAGTTTCGCATTAGGAGGAAGAACGTGAAGATTGGAATGTGATTGTGATGGGGATTTATAGAAGCCCCCAGATAGGAAGTTCTTAAAGAATGCTAGACATTATTATCTATTAGGATTCGATATTAAAATAGATATTTGCAATATCTCTATTTAAAAGTTAAATAAAAACCTTTTAAACTGGTTTTCCAATAATCACTTATGTTATTCCAACCGAAATGGTAAAATAAAATCTTATTTAGTCATAAAGTATAGTTATGTTTATGTTCCTGAAGTGATTTCATTTTCTCTATTCTATTATTATCCACTTAAAAAACCAAACAATGTATTTTACAAGCCATAAAAATAGATCAAGCTGTGATCGATTACTAAAGTGATTCAACTGAATCTATTTTCTTACCAATTTCCGGAAATTCCTTGTTCGATCTCTTGATTCATCATCATCAGCAGCATTATAATCATCATTAGACTTGAATGATCATTGACTTAAGGTAGACATTGCATTTATCCGCTTTCATTGAAATTGTTGTTGTAAGTCCGCCCTTCTTCCTATTTTACATCTTTTGTTGTATATTTTGTTTTTAACCCGCTCCGATCTGCAGTGTTTCTATTTATATGGGCGTGCCTGTGTGTTGTCTTTTGCCCCGCTATAATTATAGCGCAGGTATTTATAATTATAGCATTGGCCATAGCAACTGGCGAATGTTGTGCAAGCGGGCGTCGTCGCTGCAGGGGGTGGTGGGTGCTTTTCTTTTTTTGTTGGTAGAGAGGTGGCAGGATGGTGTGGTGATTGCAGTTTCCTAGGAATCGATGTGGCATATGGTTAAGGTTCTTCTTCTCTTCCTGTACAGGGGGAAAAATCAAGTCTCCCTATGAAAATTTCTACTATCACATGTATAGTTTTTAGTGCTTAGAAAAGTGATTCATTCTTACGATTAAATATAAAATACCAACTACATTTTTTTGTTTACAAAATTTACATAAAAATTTGGAAATATTTCTTTTAGACTCTTATTTTTTTGCCGTGTAAGATGCGATTGTTGTTGATATGTTTTGAGTGATGATGTTGTTGACGGTTCTCTATTGCAGAAGCCAAATGCCCATTTGTCTACCCAAGTTTTCTCTCTCTGTGGCCCCCCTGTCTTCTCCTGTCTTTCTCCTCATCTCGGTTCTGCTTTCCCCTTTCTTCTTCCCCCCAATCTTCAGCGCTTTGTGCTCTTCTTGCGGCGCTCTTTCTCTGCCATCCCATATTGCCATCGTAACAGTTTCGAAATTTGTGTTTATATTTGATTTTTTCGCCAGTTGGGCCAGTCGGCCGAGTGAAACTGAAATGAAAGTGCCTCCCTCATTTCCCAGCGAATGCCGAGGCCAAAGCGTACGCGCCAAATACCTAAAGGAAAATATACAACAGAAACAAAATACTTAAATAAAAAGAATCTTAAATAATAGAAAGCAAAACATAAGAAAAAAAACTGAAAACTTAAAACCTAAAACAACATCCATCATTCAACTTTAGCACAAACACGCAGTTTTTTTGGAAATTCCATGAAAATAAGTGCCTGACCAAAAAGTTTATAACCAAATATCGAAAGCAAACAGCCAAAGACTAAACAAAAAAAACAAAAAAACGATATTATAAAACAAAGAAATCCAAGAAAACAAAAAAAGAAACAAAAGTGGCAGCCGAAACCAAAGATTATTTATTGAGTGAAGTAAGCTGAAAAGTGAGAACACCTTTCCTTACCCCACCTGAAACTCACAAATAAAAATATGAGATAAACATCATTTGCTTTATTTATTTATTTTCCGTTTATTTTTTGCATGTGTGACTGCGTGGGGGGTGACACTCACACATATAGAAAAAGAGATTGCGAGAGAGAGAGAGAGAGTGTAGAAAGCATATTGCTAAGGTCATGGGAAATATGCAAATTTTATGACACATCCAAAGAGCTAGGTGAGATCAGGAAGAGGAAAAACCAAAATTACCAGAAGAACCGAAAAAACCAAAATAAAATTCAATAGATACTGGCAAAGTGATCGAATGTTTCTTATCGGTAATCGGCTAGATTGGATTTAAATCGATATTCATTCTGCTAAGTTTAAGGGAAATATATAAAAAGCAAATAATTCAGAAAGATAAACCTTAATAAGCAGGAAAATCGAAAGAAAAACTAATCAAATTCAATAGAAATTTAAAGATTATCTTACTTTTGTTATCGATCATTGCTTATATTCTATTTATAAAGTTATAAAGAGCAACTTTCGATCAAGTTTTGTTTGATATCTGTAATCAGTTGATCGTTTAATGTATGGGCTATTGAGATCACTGAGATATGTTTTCAATTACCTAGGATATGCGATTGTGATCTTAAGGGTTTCTGTGTTTTGTGATCTATACATATTTATGATCTTTTAAAGGATTTCTATGACATCAATACTTGAATTGAGATATTTAGAAACTTTGCTTTTGCAATCTCAAACTCAAAGTATTTCTTTGATAATAGTGTAGTTGTGTATAAAATCTCATGAAGATTTAATTAAAAACAGCAATTCTTTTATATCAAGAAAGGAAAGATGAAGTTTAGTGGAAAATCATGTTAAAAATAAAGCCTGTGATGGGTCTCCCAACTGGAAGTTCAGATTGATAGGACTTTGTGTAAAAGAGAAAGCAAATTGATAATTGCGATCACGTTTCCCTATCAATTAGTTGTACAAACTCCACTTAAGCAGTCTTATTAGTTATCAAAACTTATACCAATATTATATATTCTGAAATTACAGCTCAAGAAGAGTCAGGAGTTGCAGAAGCGACGGCTTTTCCACACGTTTCAGGAGCAATCGAAGCAAATGGAATTGGAGCATAAACTCCAATTGGAGCACAAGTATCAAGTGAGTAGACGATGCAGTTCCGTTGATGTTCTTCTAGTCTTATACTTGTTGCTGTTGCTATTTATTTATTTAGTTTCTTTTTTTTTGCCTGTCTTTATAAACATGAATATTAATAATAATGATGATGATGATATGTCTATGATGGCTGTATATGTGTGTGAGTGTGTGTGGGGGCGACAGACAGAAAACAACGCAAAATAAAAACAAACGACAAAGTAAAAGAGAATTGAAATGAAATTATACATATGAAATATATTATATTATCTTGCCGGAAGTGTCGGAAGCGTCTTGTGTGATGACTAAGGCCATCGTTAACACTCTGTATTCAGTATTCTCTATATAGCCATGTCTCGCACAGATCTTTAATGTTCCAGAAAATGTCTTGTTAAATCTCAGACGATCTCTAGTTTTTACGACTGATATATATATATATATTTTTCATATTTTAAGTATTACATTTAATGGCCCAATACTCAGAATTAGTCACCTTTCCTTTTTTTTTTTTGAATGAAACTTTTACCGGAAGCTATCTAAAATTTTGAAATCATCATAAAAAGATGGAATTAGCCATCTTTTTTTTAAGGCTAATATCTTTGGCAAAAATAGTTGGGCCATAGCAACAGCAACATTATTTGATTTTAACCAACAAAAATGCATATTAAAAATGACTATTACTTTCCAAAAAAACACCACGATAAGAAACAACAAACAAACAAACGATTCTCTCTCGAACTTATTGTAATTATTCAGTTTGCGGTGAATTCACATGGCGCTTTCCAGGAATTGACAGTGACAGCCGCCGCGCTGGCTGAGGAGCAACATCGCCAGCAGCAACATCAACATCAACCGCAACAACAGCAGCAGCAGCAGCAGCAACACCAACACCAGCAGCAGCAACAGCAACATCAGTCGCAACAGCAGCAGCAACATCAACAACAGCAACAGGGACGCGGCAGGGACGGTATGAAACTCAAGCAAAATTGTAGCGCCAATGCCAGTCCCGAGGTCAAACAGATTCTCAATGTAAGCTATCCAATGTCCTACATCCACATAATCCTTGAAAGAAATCAATTCTCTACTCCTTTTTCATAGTGCTTCATCATGAGCAGGAAGTCGCAGGCGGCGGCTTCGAATGGGACAACGACAACGTCTCCTTATAGGAATCGGTAAGAGAAGGCTTCTTAAAGAATTAAATTAAAGAATTAAATAATGAATTAAAGTAGAAAATAATTAAGTAATTCATGGAACTAAATAATAGATCTACCATTTCTGTAAAAATGAAATTTAATCTGCATTCTATAACCACTTAACTTACCTAAGGACATCGTTACGTTTCTTAGTTGCAAGAAGCTTGAAAATCCTTGAAAATTTATATATACAACACCATACTTATACTCGATGTAACCATACGTATATACTATATATCATCCTTCTTACGTATATCTCCTTTCGCAGTGGCGTGGTGAAGAGCTCCTCGGGCGAATCCCTCCCAGCTGGAACCGTGACCAGTGCGCATCCGTACAAAATACCTCAGCCGCCCTCCTCACTGCTCAAATATGAATCTGATTTTCCGCTGAGGAAGACAGGTGAGTGAAATATTGGATATTATCATGTCAGCAGGTGGTACAAGATGAGATTCTTCTAAAAAAAAAAAAAAACCTGCTCCCCCTTGGCCCTCTTTTGTTTTCTTTTTATTGCCTGACATTGCTGTTGTAACTTGGATTTATTGTCTAACCAACCAAGCAAACGAGTTGCAAAAAGATAAGGGGCTAAGCCAATGATTTTTTGCATTAAATTGACAGATAAAAATATATATATTTCCGAGGGTCATGTAACCAAAATGCCACAGGATGAATTTGTTAGATAATTTCCGTTGTGCAATGATAAAATGGTTTGGGTAAGCTTCTTTTAGGTAAGAATTTTGGTTAGGAGTTTGAGTTGAACTTATAAAACAGCTAAGCCAGAAAGAAGAGGTATTTCCTTTTATACAATGATTAATTAAGGGAACTATTTTGAAAAGGTTTTCACATTTTTAGCCGTTTACTTCCACAGTTCAATGTAATTAGTTTAAAAGTTAGTAATAGCTGAAAATTCCTGAGATATCAACAAATAGCATGGCTAACTACTAACTGCAAGTTTTGTTACAAAAGCTAAAGTTCGACTGCCGCCTCTTTACGCTGTAATCATAAGCCTGAAACTTTTTTAATAACCCCGCAAAGACTAACCCAAAAAAAAAATGTGTGTGAACCGCTCCCAAAACAGCATCCGAACCGAACCTGCTGAAGATCCGGCTGAAGCAGAGCGTCATCGAGCGCAAGGCCCGTATCGGTGGACCGGCCGGAGCCAGGCGCCACGAACGCCTCCTCCAGGCGGCGCAGCGCAGGCAGCAAAAGAACTCCGTTCTCACAAGTACGTATCATCTATCATCTATCAACCATATGATCCAGACTTATCAGAACTCAAGATCACATCTTTATAAAGACGAAACAAGTTAGTAGGTTTAAATAGTTTTCGGATTTTAATGGGAAAACTAATAATACTTTATTTTAAATATTATAAAAATGTTCTTTTGATCTTTAGTTCGTTTTTTACTCTTTTAAAATCTCAATAAAACTTTCGATCCTTTCAAGTTATAGAACTGATATACACTTACAGAACCTTGATCCTTAAAGATTTGAGAACATAAAACATATTCCAGGATCTTCATATTAAAGTTATAAAAAGGTTATAACTTATAAATTTATCAATATTTAATTTTTGTTTAATATTTTTATACTTTTAACCATTTATTGTTATTGTTTATTCGTTGTTTTCGCTGTTGTTTTTTTTTCACTGCTGCTGTTAAATTAACAACTTGAAGACCAATTCGCTTAGCTCAGTTAACTAACTTAACCGAAATCAATGTAAATTCTTGATTAACTTAAATTGAATATTTGATTTCTTTAGATTGCAACAGCACACCGGATTCAGGGCCCAATTCTCCGCCCTCGGCAGCTGCATTGGCTGTAGGCGTGGTGGGCAGCCGTGGATCACCGACAAGTGCACCCATTCAGGAGGAGAACGAGGAGGGCAGCCAATATCAGCCGGGTCCCAGGAGCAGCATCAACGATTTGCCATTGTTTAGTTCACCATCGATGCCCAATATTTCGCTGGGGCGACCGCATTTACCCAACTCGGCGCAGGCATATGCCCAGGTGGATGCCCAGGCCCAGGCACAGGCTCATGCTCAGGCCCAGGCTCAGGCACATGCCATGTTCGCGGCACTGCATCAGCATGTGGCTGCCGCTCAAGGTGGCTGCGGACAGCCGGGCTATTACAATCCATTGGGAATGGCATTCGTTGGTCGCCAGCCAGCACCGTTGGCCATGATTCCTGCCACGGGGATTGCACCGCAACAACCGTCGCCCGTAGTGCGCAGTGCATCGGCCACCTCGACATCCTCGTCGCAGGCCTCGTTGGTAGGTGATGTGGCACCACCACAGGCTCATGCCGCCTCCACCATTCTGCCCTCGTCCTCATCCTATATGCAGCAACTGGGTGGCGTAACCGGTTCGGCAGTTAATCTCCATGCCGCCGCTGTGGCTGCAGCTGCAGCAGCAGCAGCCGCTGCCGGTTCACTGCCACCAACAAATAGTCATGGTCATGGTCACGGCTCCCATGCTCATGCCCATGGACATGGTCATGGTCATGCCCTGTACGGAGCACATCAGCACAATGTGCCCATCACGGATGCCCAGGTGGCGCAAGTGCATCTGCACAAGCAGGGCCATCGACCGCTGGGTCGGACGCAGTCAGCACCACTGCCCCTGGGTCATCCAATGCTAACCGGAGCCGGGCAGTTGAATGTGGTCCAAACGCACTACGAGAATAGCGAGGTGAGTGGCATCTTTTATATGGATTCTGGATCCTCTGAGAAATCTTAACTAACTTTCGTATTCTTGCAGGCGGAGCGCCAAGCGTACGAGCACCAGGTGCTTAATCAGAAACTCCGCCAGACCGTCCTAACACGCAGTGGAGCAGCTGCAGCCGCCGCCGCTGCTGCCGGTGTGAGTGTAGTGCGTGAGGCGCAGTTAAAGGAGGAGGATGATGACTCGGCTGCCGAGGTTATGGACCTTACTGACAAAAAGAAACCGCCGAAAACGGTGTTGACCAACACGATAGCAACCAGTACGTCCCAGAATCTGCCCGAAGCATTGGCGGCAGCGGTGGCCGCAGCCGCCTACCGTGCCGCTCCCTCCACGTCCAGTAACTCCGCCTCTGTCACAAAGTCCGGTATCAAGCTGCGGGATCAGGAGTATCTGCAACAGCAGCGAGAGCAACTATTGTTAAGGCAGCAAGATGAGGAATTGGCCAAGGGTCTAATGCGTCCACTTTCGCGAACTCTGAGTAGTCCATTGGTGCCGCTGGGGCCGCATGGTCTTAGTCAGATTCCCGATACTGGACAACAGCCAGCACCAATAGCCACATCATCGTCGGCTGATCATATACCGCCCGTGAACCTCACGCTACCGCATCGCCAGCACCGCCAGCTGAGCACCCTGTATGCCAGCCAATTGCGTAACCACCAGCCACCTACGAGTGGTTCACCGCCGCACAAGGTCACCACTGGATTGGCCTATGATCCGCTTATGCTAAAGCATTCGTGTATTTGCGGTGACAATGCCCAGCATCCGGAGCACAGTGGTCGGCTGCAGAGTGTTTGGGCACGGCTTAATGAAACGGATCTGGTGAAGCGTTGCGATCGATTGCGTGCCCGCAAGGCGACACAGGAGGAGCTGCAGACGGTCCACACGGAGGCGCATGCCATGCTCTTCGGTTCGAATCAGTGCCAGTTAAGCAGGCCCAAGTTGGAGAATACATTGTCGGCGAGCTTTGTCCGTTTGTCGTGCGGCGGTCTGGGTGTTGATCTGGATACCACGTGGAATGAGCATCATACGGCAACCGCTGCACGAATGGCCGCCGGATGTGTGATCGATTTGGCATTGAAGACGGCCAAGGGGGATCTGCGGAATGGTTTCGCCGTTGTCCGGCCGCCGGGCCATCATGCGGAGGCCAATCTGGCCATGGGCTTCTGTTTCTTTAACTCGATAGCCATTGCGGCCAAGCTACTTCGCCAGCGAATGCCCGAGGTGCGGCGCATCCTTATCGTTGATTGGGTGAGTGTGCCTGTTCCTGATTGTCATTGAAACTGGACTAATCTTCTGTTTAACTTCTTCATTTACAGGATGTGCATCATGGCAATGGCACTCAGCAAGCATTCTACCAAAGTCCCGACATTCTATATCTTTCCATACATCGACACGATGACGGTAATTTCTTTCCCGGCACTGGTGGACCCACAGAGGTAAGCTATTCTTAAGAAATTTTATAAATCCTTCTTAATCTGGTAAATGAATTCTTTACAGTGCGGCTCCGGTGCTGGTCTCGGCTTCAACGTGAACATTTCATGGTCTGGGGCACTTAATCCGCCGCTGGGTGACGCCGAGTATATCGCTGCATTCCGTACCGTTGTGATGCCCATCGCGCGGAGCTTCAATCCGGACATTGTGCTTGTCTCCTCTGGCTTCGATGCGGCCACCGGCCATCCGGCCCCGCTGGGCGGCTATCATGTCTCGCCGGCCTGCTTTGGTTTTATGACCCGCGAACTCCTCCAGCTGGCCAATGGCAAGGTGGTTTTGGCCCTTGAAGGCGGCTATGATCTGGCTGCCATTTGTGATTCCGCCCAGGAGTGTGTAAGGGCGCTGCTCGGTGATCCCGCTGCACCGATAGCCAAGGCCGAATTGGAGCGACCGCCTTGCCAGAATGCCATCAATACGCTCCAAAAGACGATAGCCATTCAGGTGGATACTAGATCTTTAACGGGTTGATCTTGAACCCTAACTAACTGATGTTTTGGCTTTTTCCAGCAAACGCATTGGCCCTGCGTGAGGATGCTGGAACATACGGTGGGTCTGTCCGCGCTGGAAACGCTCAAGGTGGAGCACGACGAGTCCGAGACGATCAATGCCATGGCTGGCCTCTCGATGCAATCGATGCACAGGTGAGTTTTAATTTAAATAAGTTAAATTTTATATAAAAAAAATGAGTAACATATTCTTCTTACCGGTTTTACAGAACCCTATCCCGCGATGATTCCGAGGAGCCGATGGATCAGGATGAAACCAAATAGGTGGCGAAGCAAATTGGAGATTTGGGGCAAGAAGACGAAGGGCGAGGCGAAGATATGTGGGCGTGGCAGGGGGAATGGCGAGAGGGCGTAGCCGCAAGCTGCTCAATGCACATTTAGTTATTTGTTGTAGTTGAATTGATTGTTGTTGCTGTTGTTGTTGTGGCGCTCGCTTGCAATTGTTGTCGTTGTCATTGATCGTCTATAGCCACATCTATCTCTCTCACTCGATCGAGAATATATATCTATATAGCTATAGCTATATGTTAGTCCTCACCCAAATCCCTACCCAAAAATGAGAAACATCGAAAAATAAAGTAGGGGAAAATGTCTAAAAAGAAGCAGAACAGGGCCTAAAGTTCAAAATGGTGGCTGTGCCTCCAAAAAAGAAAATAATTATAATAATTAGAAAAACAAGAACCCTTAGAAACTGGGGAATTTTATATGAATATATAGTCTATATACAAATATAGTATATATCGGATGGAGAATTTAGTTGGTAGAATTCCTTGAGAGATTTTTTTTTTTTTTTTTTTTTTAGAAGGTGAAAGATGAGGTATTTTAACGCACACACACACACACACACAAACACACGCAACTCAATGTATCTTATTATTATTATTTAAGTAAGTGTGTTAAAAAAAAGGATATAGAACCACTAACATAATGGTAATATAAACTATAAAGTTAAAGTTAAAAGGAGATCAGGTGCAAGAAGCGTGTGTTTATTTCTTTTTTTTTTTTTCTTATTGTTCGATAAGGTTGAACCTCAAAGTTTCCCAAATATATATAATACCCCACCACGCCCACTTTATCCCGCCCGCCCAGATGAAGATCGAGGGAGAGAGTGGATTAGGTGTTATGTAGAATGCTTTAGTTGATATAAGAATATGAGAAAAACTTTACAACTAACATGTTAAAAGAAGAAAGCAAAAAAGCGAAAAACTGAGAAATCTTTTTGTACAATTTATAGTTTAGTGCAAGTTTCAAGTACAACATACTATTATTTAAAGAATTCTATATATATACATATATAAATATATATTGTGCAATAAATGTGAGAAAATGAAAATCGAGTGCAGAGCAAAAACAAAATCACACAAAAACAGAAACTAAAACTAAAACGAATAAGAGAAAATTGTTGTTAAATGTTGCCGAGATCTTATATACGTATGTATACCTAATAACTGTTACAATAATAACCCATTATATATATTTGAATATATATATATATATATATATATATAAATAAATGCACATGTGTATTCACCGTGTGTGTAACGATAACGATGTTCAACAAATGTCTGAAATGAAGTAAAACTATTATTATATGTAAATAAAACACAAAACAAAGTGAACAATTTTAATAAAAAAAAAAACAAACAAAAAAAGCTACAAAATCCGAAAAACATTCACGCTCACCCATATACACACACACACTCACATATATACGTCCTGGGCAGGACCCGTAAGGCGTGGATCGGGAATTATCTGGAATACCCGTTTAACCGCTAACCGTTAACTGTAAAAGCGCTGTAATTGTATTTGTACTCGTGTACCTTTAGCTGTTTATAGCCGTCTCTCTCTAACTCGCTACCTTACCAAAAAAGTAAAGCAGCAACTCAAAATAACGGATTATGGACAAAGAAGAAGCAACAGACAAGGATCAAAAACTTTTAGCAAGCGAAGAGAAAGAAGAGAATGTGGAGTAACAAGAAGAATAAGCACAACGAGAGATGGACCGATTAGGCTCCAACTGGATGAAACAATTGTTAACAAAACGAAGCAGAAACTAAAAAAAAACTAAACTTTAAAAACAAAAAAATTAAATCACAAATGTAACTATTAATCTAAGGAAAGAATAATGCCATTGCTAGGGTTTTTATATTTCAATTTTCATCCTGATTTTTTCCTTTGCCTACAAAGTCCTAAATAAAAACCTTATTTCAGAAACATGAAAAGTTAGAATGATGAATTTTGTAACTTAGATAATGTATTGAGTTGCTTTAATATAAAATTCGAAATATCCTATATTCTCTGTTTTTTTAACTACAATTTCCCTTATCATTGCTTTAACTAAATATAATTTTTAGTTATCTTAAATTTCACACCTCCATCATTCATTTACCTCTTCTGATAGTTTATTTTTAACTGATAACAAGAAACATAAAAACAAATTATACTAACAAAGTGAAATATTGTTGTTGCGCACTGCAAAAAAAAAAGAAAACAAAAAATAATTCCATAAGCTGAGAAATAGTAAACAAAATGGTTTTAGCAAAATGAAAACAAAATCAAATATTTATATATTTTGTTTATTGTTGCACAAATAAGTCCAAGGAAAAGAAAACATTTAAGAGTAATAATGTGTGTCGCTTTTTCTAAACGAAATAAAACGAAGAAATCGTCAAGAGTACTTCTATACAGTTTTTTTCTTCTCTGTGTATGGATTTAAAATTTGGTGAATAATAGGAAAATCTTTAATTTAATGGGCAATGCAAACTGAATATGGAAGCACTTCAGCTAAGATGGAATTTGAGATCGTTTTCTTTATTTAAGATATATGTATAACATTGGCGGTTAACAATATTTGATTTAATAAATATATTATTTAATTAATTAGGTCGTTAAATTTACCGATAAACAACGTTCACAATGCCTAAGGGCAAAACTTTTGGTGTTTTCTCCAGCTGTGAAAATGTACTGAAGCAAATCCTAAAATTAAAGGTAACGAGAAAGATTATCATGCTATTAACGATTTAGTAGCTACGCGTGTTATTTATAAATGTAATTGAGTATCTGTCCATATTGCTGTATTATATAATGCCATCATCTTCAGGTCACGGGTCTCACATATCTGTCAGATTTGATTGAGCTCTGTGGGGGAACTCAGAAACACAGGAAACTCCTCCGGGATGTGGATTCTTTTCTTTTTCGTTTTTAGTTTGGATTTGGGACCGAACAAACAACGCGAAGCCTGGATCGTATATATATATATATATTTGTCTATATAGTATAAGTTTTGCGGTGTATACGTGTACATGGAGTCAACGCCACTGATTCGCACTGGGCTCCTTCTTGCCCATCAATTTGCACTTAGAAGCTAATAATTGAGATTGCATTTGGGCATATCCAGCTTCATATCCCTCACTGCCGCGCCACCATATCTAGGCCACCTTCCTCCTCCATCTTGGACAGGAACTTAATAGCCCGCTGAGATGGCTCTGTCTGCCGTGCCATATCGATAAGTCCCAGAAGCTTCTTGATGCCAATGAAGACACTGCACAAGTTAAATGCAAATGCAAATGCAAATGAATCAAAAATCCTTTTTTAATAATCCCAATTCTTACCGCTTTCCGGCCATCTTCTTGCCAATGGCTTGTATCTCTCCCTTGCTAAAAATATCCGTGTGCTCGAGCACGGCCAAAACATGTTCCGGCTGTGACAGATTGGGCACATGAAGCACCGAGGTAAAGGCCGTCAGCATCTCCATCTCCTCCAGTACCTCCCTGAGAATTCAATCATATTAATAACTGAATATACGGAAAGTAAAGCGCAGGCTTACCTCCTACTCGAGGTGCACAGAATAAGCAGCTTGCGGCCCTTGGGAGGTTGTTTCTTAAGCAACACCAGCAGCGCCTGTAGTGTCATATTGGAGTATCGAGGACCAATCGATCCGTAGTCCAACAGACGCTCTACATTGTCCACCACAATGCAGCTGAGCGTGGAGCGATAGGCATCGTCAAAGATCTTGCGAATGTGAAGGCATTTGGCTGACTCAGTAAATCCAACCATGTCTTCGGGCGAGCAGACTTTGACGAATGGGAAGTCGGACATCTTAGATAGCTGGGCGGCCAGTGCTGTCTTACCAGAGTTGGGAGCTCCGGCCACAAGGACGGAGACCAGACCACTCGACTCTGGAGCCTTGGCCTGTTGTACATAGAGCATGCCGTCCTCAAGGAGATTGCTCACTGGAGTTCCCCAGTTGATAACACCTCGTGCCAGCATATTATCCAGTATTTCCTGAGCCGTACCAAATGCCGGCTTGATATCGTTCTCCAGCGAATGCATGAAGTCATCACGATTAACCTTTAGCTTCTCCATGGCCTCGGGATCCACGGTCACCTTGGCATCGGCCTTGATCAGCCTATTCATGGCACTTGACTGAGCAGCACGGACCAATCCTTCCAGCTCGGCTCCACTGAAATTCTTCGTTAGCGCAGCAATCTCCTTGTTATCCACATCGTCGTTGATCTTGTTGAAATCACGCATCCGTTTGGTATGGATATTGAGAATCTGAACGCGGCCCTGTTCGTTGGGCAGACTGATTTCCATTTGGACCTCGAGACGACCGGGTCGCAGTAGTGCCTCATCGATCATGTCTCTGCGATTGGTCATGCCAATGACAAGGATATTGTTTAGCTGATCAACACCATCGATTTTGGTTAGCAGTTGATTGACGACGGTGTCGTGTACACCACTATTTCCGGCCACAGAGCCACGCTGCTTGCAAATGGCATCGATCTCATCGAAGATGATGATATGCAACCCACTGTTGGGTCCCAAACGTTTCTCTTCCTCCTCAGCCTCGGCGAATAGTCGCCGGACATTGGCTTCCGATTCGCCAACATATTTGTCAAGAATTTGCGGTCCATTGACAATCTTTGGTTCACGGGCATTCAGCATGGTACCAATTTGACGAGCCATTAGGGTTTTACCAGTACCAGGTGGACCATATAGCAGGATGCCCTTGACATGCTTGCAGCCCAATTGTTCGACAAGTTCTGGTGGAAAGACACGAGAGGCGAAGGCTCGTCGGAAAATCGAATTGAATTCCTTGTCAAGGCCACCAATGCCCATCTTGCCAAAGTCCCAATCCGGATTTATAATGGACTGCCGAACCACCTTGCCTTTGCTCTTGCCCTGAAGGTTCAAAGAGCTATTCTCGGCCTTTTCAAATTGAACAACCGTATTGCCCAGAATCCTGCCAAAGCGGACATTTCGCATTGCTGGCTCCTTGCCCTCTCCCAAACTCTTCGGATCGATGGCCTCCAGGGATTTGACAGCCAAGCCAAGGAGTTTCTTATCCTTAAAGTTAAAGACCAAGGATTGGCCCACAGTTAGGGCCATTCCAGCGAATTGCATGATAAACTCCTTGGCCATTTGATCGGAATCATAGGGCTCCTGGGAGACACTGCACGGAATGGTATAATTGGTATTACATAATCCTAGAGTTTATACTATACACATACGTTTTCTTTTGCAGAAAGTCCGTTTCAAAGGACACACAGGTGATGACATCCGAGCTGGCATCAAAACGATAGGGACGAACCTCCAGTTCCTGGTTAATGGAGACCATGGCCCATTTACGTTGGACGAGGGAGAAGCCGACATAGCCACTGGGTACCTCTACGGTCTTCTCCAGGGCGAAAATGAAGTGCTGCCCAGCAGCTGGCGATATGTCCGCATACCTGGTGATAATATAAATGGGTCCAATATATAGTATCAGGACATTTTAACCAAAGTGGAGCACCTACTTGACTTCATCCGGAAAATCACCCACATTCACAATGGCTCGATTGGTCAGCGAAAGCTCGTCCGTGGGACATTTGGTGGCCTTCAAGCGCTACATAAATCATTTAAACATATCGATTACAACCCGAAACAGGAAAAACTATTATAATTATAGAAAAACCAACTCACATAAGCCATCTCTTCAGTTTTTTGGGTATATTTTCAGGGGGTTGTTTACGAGCGACTTAAAAATCGATAATAATCTTTCTAGGGAAACTTTTTGAATGGTCAAAAGCCCAGCTTTATGTGCGAATTAACCTTTGATGATTTTTCTCGGTGTCACTGTCCTAACATAACTATCTTTTAGTTCATTCCACAACTGGTAAGCTATATCTTTTCTGAACTTTCAGGACAATTGGTTTTATTTCTTCAATCGGTTTAAGCACATGCGCGCCTTGATTTAACTTAATAATGCCTATCGTGCCTATCTTTCCACGCGGTATTTTTTGGTATCGCAAACATACCACCCACACTATATCGATATATTATTCAAATAATCCGTTAAATATTTATACATTTTGTATCGATAGTTCAAATAACGCATCACTAAAAACGAATATTCAAAAAAATTTTAAACAAAAACCAATAAATTTATTAAAGTTGATGTCCTATTAAAACCACTAATGTTCAATAGGTAGTGATTGCATATATACTTAAATATTATATAAAAAAGAATGTTTACCGAAAATGAAATTAAAATACATAAAAAAGGAAACATAGCAATCATTGCGTTTTCGAAATGTTAATGTCAATAGGCTCAGCTAAACATTATTTCATTCTCGTATCAGAGTTTAGGCTGTTCAGATCTACTAGTAGCTAATCAAAATTATCAACGAAAATTTTTGTAACAAACATTTTATTAAATTTGGTTACTTTTCTAAACATTTCAAACCGTCTGTTTAAGGAGGAAATCGCATCGAACCAGTGCAACGACCGTGAGTTATACCCTTCAAATTTTAACATAAAATGGGATTACTTCTATACCTAAAGAAAGACGTATTGTCAGTAAAAAACTATGCTGCGCGTGCGAATCTTACGTTTTTACTTCCAACATCCGTTAAATATTTATACATTTTGTATCGATAGTTCAAATAACGCATCACTAAAAACGAATATTCAAAAAAATTTTAAACAAAAACCAATAAATTTATTAAAGTTGATGTCCTATTAAAACCACTAATGTTCAATAGGTAGTGATTGCATATATACTTAAATATTATATAAAAAAGAATGTTTACCGAAAATGAAATTAAAATACATAAAAAAGGAAACATAGCAATCATTGCGTTTTCGAAATGTTAATGTCAATAGGCTCAGCTAAACATTATTTCATTCTCGTATCAGAGTTTAGGCTGTTCAGATCTACTAGTAGCTAATCAAAATTATCAACGAAAATTTTTGTAACAAACATTTTATTAAATTTGGTTACTTTTTTAAACATTTCAAACCGTCTGTTTAAGGAGGAAATCGCATCGAACCAGCGCAACGACCGTGAGTTATACCCTTCAAATTTTAACATAAAATGGGATTACTTCTATACCCAAAGACGTATTGTCATTAAAAAAAATGCTGCGCGTGCGAATCTTACGTTTTTACATCCAACATCCGTTAAATATTTATACATTTTGTATCGATAGTTCAAATACCGCATCACTAAAAACGAATATTAAAAAAAAATTTAAACAAAAACCAATAAATTTATTAAAGTTGATATTCTATTAAAACCACTAATGTTCAATAGGTAGTGATTGCATATATACTTAAATATTATATAAAAAAGAATGTTTACCGAAAATGAAATTAAAATAAATAAAAAAGGAAACATAGCAATCATTGCGTTTTCGAAATGTTAATGTCAATAGGCTCAGCTAAACATTATTTCATTCTCGTATCAGACTTTAGGCTGTTCAGATCTACTAGTAGCTAATCAAAATTATCAACGAAAATTTTTGTAACAAACATTTTATTAAATTTGGTTACTTTTCTAAACATTTCAAACCGTCTGTTTAAGGAGAAAATCGCATTGAACCAGTGCAACGACCGTGAGTTATACCCTTCAAATTTTAACATAAAATGGGATTACTTCTATACCCAAAGACGTATTGTCAGTAAAAAAAATGCTGCGCGTGCGAATCTTACGTTTTTACATCCAACATCCGTTAAATATTTATACATTTTGTATCGATAGTTCAAATAACGCATCACTAAAAACGAATATTCAAAAAAATTTTAATCAAAAACCAATAAATTTATTAAAGTTGATGTCCTATTAAAACCACTAATGTTCAATAGGTAGTGATTGCATATATACTTAAATATTATATAAAAAAGAATGTTTACCGAAAATGAAATTAAAATAAATAAAAAAGGAAACATAGCAATCATTGCGTTTTCGAAATGTTAATGTCAATAGGCTCAGCTAAACATTATTTCATTCTCGTATCAGACTTTAGGCTGTTCAGATCTACTAGTAGCTAATCAAAATTATCAACGAAAATTTTTGTAACAAACATTTTATTAAATTTGGTTACTTTTCTAAACATTTCAAACCGTCTGTTTAAGGAGAAAATCGCATTGAACCAGTGCAACGACCGTGAGTTATACCCTTCAAATTTTAACATAAAATGGGATTACTTCTATACCCAAAGACGTATTGTCAGTAAAAAAAAATACTGCGCGTGCGAATCTTACGTTTTTACATCCAACATCCGTTAAATATTTATACATTTTGTATCGATAGTTCAAATAACGCATCACTAAAAACGAATATTCAAAAAAATTTTAATCAAAAACCAATAAATTTATTAAAGTTGATGTCCTATTAAAACCACTAATGTTCAATAGGTAGTGATTGCATATATACTTAAATATTATATAAAAAAGAATGTTTACCGAAAATGAAATTAAAATAAATAAAAAAGGAAACATAGCAATCATTGCGTTTTCGAAATGTTAATGTCAATAGGCTCAGCTAAACATTATTTCATTCTCGTATCAGACTTTAGGCTGTTCAGATCTACTAGTAGCTAATCAAAATTATCAACGAAAATTTTTGTAACAAACATTTTATTAAATTTGGTTACTTTTCTAAACATTTCAAACCGTCTGTTTAAGGAGGAATTCGCATCGAACCAGTGCAACGACCGTGAGTTATACCCTTCAAATTTAAACATAAAATGGGATTACTTCTATACCCAAAGACGTATTGTCAGTAAAAAAAAATGCTGCGCGTGCGAATCTTATATTTTTACTTCCAACATGTTCGATGCCTACCTGCGGATGGCACAATACACTGCTATTTCTAGAAGCACAATTTCAAAATAATATATTTAAAAAAAAAATTTCCATATTTTTCATATCATTTCTTTTTACCAAAGCAAATTTAATTTTTAAATACTGGCATTTCCAATTTTCCTGTTAAGCAATATAAAAATCTACTCTTTTGTTTACAAAACCTGATTAAATTGCTTTTATTATATAATTAATATAATATTTCGGTTTACTTTTAACTTCCATTGTTTTAAAATCTTAATATCTTATTTTTAATTTTAATATTTAAAATTTGAAACTATCAAGTGTTTATTTTTATCAGTCTATCGAATATGTTCGATGTTCGATGTTCGATGTCTGAATGGTTGAGTCTATATAAGCAACTGTAATCTTTGAGCGTTTGTTATTCGTTTTACTCGAGCCGCTTGAGTTTCATGACGCTAGCTCGAAGCCGAAAGAAACGAGAGAAATATCTTCGTCGCGCGCGATTGGTGGTGAATACGGAATAATTTCGATTAGGTTACGAATACTTATCAAAAGCCGATTACACTTCACTTCTTACGTAATAGTAAATAGTAGTAGTACTTTTTTTTTTTGCCACCAACGGATTATAGTATTTATTTTTTTTTGCTGTGAGTGCGTGTGAAGAGAGAAATTTGAATAAGATAAAACAAAAGAAAAACTGTTGTGGAAAATACGCGAACTGCTACCTGTTGATCGCAAGATCTTTTTGGTGTGACTTGCCAAAGGTCAAAGGCTGATAAAAAAAAAACCACAAATTCTGCCGTGCCCGGTGCACGTGCATTTAATAAATCAAATAGTTTGTTAAATATATATATATATATATGTATATATATATAAAAGTAAACATGAAAGCGTTATACTGCACACTATCATCTTTCTCACTGAGAAGAAAGTTTCTGATCTTGGTATTAATACAATATGTGATAATTACCAATGGATTTAATTTGGAACATCGATTGCCGATCGTTAAATATGGTCATTTGCATTCGCACTTTGGCTATTCGGTGGCCACCCACACAATTGGCGAGGCCAAAGATCCCAATAAAACAAATTGGTAAGTGGAGCTAAAAGATATGATAAATAATCAGAAAATATATATGTATATACTGGTTACGCAACTTCAAAAGAGAATCATTAGCAAAAGTTCGATTAGGTAAAGCAGCTGAAAAGTTTAGGTAGTTATTTTTACGGGTCTTCTACTAGGCAACAGCAAAGCAAGGCAAACTAATTATTTTTTAAGCAGTTAGAAATATTGTTAGAGCGGTGTATATATGATATAACATACCTGAGTAATACTATGGTTAAGAATAAATATATTCATATTTCTATATTGTTAAGATGTTGCCAAATACATATATCTACCTCTACCGATATCGCGTTGCCTAAATTCTGTTTTTCTTATGAAAAATTCTCAGGGTAAACAAACCCCTGAAGGAGGGGCGTCAGGTAAAAAGAACAAAATTGCCAACAACTTGTCTTGTTTAGGTAAACAAAAATCCGAAAATTCTGTTGAGGATTCGTATTCAGATTCAGATTCGTATTCATATTCAGATTGAAATTCAGATTCAGATTCAGATTCTTTGGTGAGCATGCGGCGGGAATCTCCTTGGTGTGAAAACAGGTTTTGATTTTTGCCAAATCGATTTCAGCTTAATTGACTGGCATTGATTGTTATTAATCAGCAGCACAGACAACAACAACAACAACAATTATTAAATTTGCATTGCAATTGTTGTTGTTCTTGGAAGGGGGAACGGGGTTTGCTAATGCGCTAAACTTGTTTAGAGTCGTGTTTTTATTGCTGAATTACCATAAATTGTTGGAATATTGAGTATTTCGAGAGATGATGCCAGGCTTTAAATAGTTTGGTTTTTCTTCTATCAAAACTCAGTGGCTTGCAACGAAACGAAATAGTAATAACAAACTAAATGCATGACAGCTATGCAAAATGTGGGAATTAATCATCATATAGCCCATTTTCTATGTCTAAGCAGACTTTCCACTCAGATATCTTTTCTATGCCTAAGTAGACTTTCCAAAATATTTTGAATACTTCTTAATAGCTTGATTAAATGTAGAAATTTGTTTATAGGCCATTTAGAAATTTCCAAAACTGTCCACTTCCTGGGAATTTCGAAGACTCATCAACTTGGGTATTTGCCTTGCGATAGGGAAATATTTTCTGCATATATTTAGACTTGGCGTATTTACCTTCTTGGTTTTTATTTGAGTGAGATTTTATCATGTTTGTTTTTGAAATATTTCCCTTTTGGGTTTTTGATTGTTGGTTTTACATCTTTTATTTTTGCAAATATTTGCACTTTGCTTATCTTTCGCTCGGGTACTTATTTTTTTATGGGGCAGATAGCTAAAAAAAAGGACAGAGTCGCAGAACAGGCAAAATGTCTGTCATCCTTTTCGAAGAACCCTGCCCTTGCTTCTGATAGTTAACCCCTTATTTACTGCGGCGGATGTTGATTAATTTGCATTTGTCATGGGCTTTTTTTGGCTTGGCTATGTCACTCATTAAAGGTGCTTGGAAGTTGGGCCCAAAAGTCTGTAAAAGTCTCGAAATGGCAACTATGAATGTTGGCCGCCTCCTCTTGTTTTTCCTACATATATATATTGACCAAACCAAACTCGGCAGACAGAACGGAGCCAGACGGCAATGGCCATAAAAATGGCCAGACAACAAATCTGGAATCAATACAAGACGCGACTTCAGATGCGCCAATACACAGTGGGAAAATCTGAGACTAAACAGTGATTAACTTGGCTAACAAAAATGCTATGCAAAAGGGGAAAAATCTCTTAAGAAATATGTATTCTAAAAGATATATGTATGTATGTATATATATATATATATATTTATAACTATATATGATTTTTCCCTAAGTGCTTTAATACCAATGTCTACCCTGTCTTGGCTTTACCTCATAGTTAATCCCCTTGGCCAGTTTCTATACTTGCAACACTTTTAGAGCCAGTTGGTTGTTGTCTCAGTGGGTCAAAGTAATTACACTGAGGTGTGTGGTTGTGTGTGTGTAACTGTTGCATGCCCCATCACCATTGTTGTTTGCCTTTAAACAGAAGCTAATCGAGATATTTCCATCGCCTTTGCCCGCAGATAGAGATTTCTAAACAAGATCAAGAATCCCAAAATCCACAATGTTGTGTAGTCGTATGTTCAAGCGATCGCAGAGCATGAACCGAGAACCGCGTATTCTCCAAGAAAGTACCCGTAATAAATCGGAATGCCGTGGTAGGAGTCAATCGATTGATCTGAGTATATTGAAACCTCTGGATCCGCGACGCATTCGCCAGCAAATGTTCGCGGTCTATGTGCGCGTTCGTCCCGCAGATGAACTGAGAAAAGAGACCGATCGTCCATGGATGTCAATCAGACCGCCGAACAGTATTATGGTTGATCGAGCAGCAATGCTATCGGCCTCGGAAGGTGTTGCCTCAGGAGCTTCGGTGGCGGGATCGCCAGGGAGTCCGACAAGTCATGAAATCGAATTTCGATTCCGGCGGGTATTCAGCGAGAGAGCATCACAGGGTCAGGTCTTTAAGACATTGTCGGAGTCGATATTCCAGCAAATGGATGTTGGTGGCAATGGGCTAATCTTGGTGACTGGTGCCCCTGGCACTGGTAAGACTCATACAATTTTCGGTTCTGGAAATAAGCAAGATCCTGGCTATCTGCGTCGCACATTCGATACACTTTTCCGTTCGGCTGGTAGAGATCTGGTTGAACGTTATCTCATTCAGGCGAATCCATCGGGTGCTGGATTTCAAGCTGTCTCGCCGAAAACTGCCAAAAGATTGGCCGCTCAGGGTGATCATAAGTCCGAAATACCAAACTCTTCAGAATGCCATTGGCAAGTGGATGGCGTGAAGATAAGAAAGAATAAAAGGCGTATTGCATGCTTTTTGGGTATTCTGATTGTCCAGGAGGGTACCATCTATGACCTATTTGAGAAATGTGATGAGCGTCCGACACCCATGACTCTTAGGGATGATCGAACGGGCAGATGTTATGCGGTTAATGCCAATCGCCTGGAGATTCGTAATACCGATGAGGCCTTAAATTATGTTAAAGTGGCTTTGCAGAAACGTGAAGCTTTGAACTTTCAGGGTAGCACCCATCTGGTGATCAATATATATATGGCGTTCTATGAAAATGGACATTGTGGTAAGCCTCTCGAATTCAGTCAAATGACCATTGTAGAGGTCATGGCGCCCAGGGCCCATCAGTTGCCGAGCACTAGACATTCGTGTAGTACCCTACAATCCGTTTATACATTACACAGTTGCCTAAGTTGCCTGCACGAAAACCAAATGGCTGTGATTAAGGGTAAGACAGCCAAAAAGCGACCACCGATTCGGGAAACCAGTCTTACCCAGCTCCTGCGACATTTCTTCCATGTTAGCACTCTGGCCCATGTCGTCTGTTTGGCCACCATTAGCCCGGAACGGGAACAGATGCTAGAGAATATGCGTTCATTGCGTTTTGCCGTGGATACTATATATAGCCAGGAAGGTAAACAACCAGCGACCAAAGCTAATGTGACCAAAGATGAGCTTGTGTCTATAGATAATGAAGATAATCTTGGCCCGATTACCACATTTCTGGACAAGCATAACCAGCTCAATCATCGTGCCATTCGCAGCGTAATACCCATTGTACTGCCATGCTTCCTGCAGATTGGCACCCTACTTACACTCCTCAAATCCCATATAGTAAAACGGAAAAAGTTCATACAGAGCTCTGAGAATCTAAGCAGGGAATTACTGGCACGATTTGGTTATAGTATTACTGGATTCGTTGCTCTGCAGGAAGATACCTTGGTGGAACTGAGGACGTCCAACCAGGCGATGATTAACGTGGTTATGCAACTGGAGATGATCCATGAGCCACTTAACTATGGCACGCTCTCAGTTCAAGCTCAGCAGATGGAGAAGAAGGTCCAGATAACTGAGAATCTTCTACGCGGACGCAATCAGCAATTGAAGATATATGCCAATAATTTGGAGTCCAAACAAGAGGCGGAAAATAATATGCAAAATAACCAAAAGGATTAGGTAATCTTAGGTCAATCTATCTATCTGGATTTGTGATTCTTAACTTGGCTATATATAAGATGCTTTCATGGAATGATATAAGTGAGCCCCTAACTTAGTTGCCTCCGCGCTACCTTCTTGGATCTCTGGACCATGTTGTACTTATGCTGGCGTAGAGGTCTCTACTGATTTTCTCTTTTCTAATAACAGATTGCTCGAGTGATCAGATATCATAAAAAATATATATATACAATTTGAAATAAGAAATAAATAAGTAAATAAATAAATTTGAAATAAGTCTTTTCTTATTGCAATGACACACTTTCCCACAGCCCAACGGATCCGAGTTCCCAATTCCCGGACTTGGAACATGTGTTCTTTTTCCAGTTTTATGTTCTTATGAATATATATACTCCTCAGCGAGTGTTCTGCATTCCCAATTAGTTTTGGAATGCATTTGTCACATTTTGTCAGGCCATGATCAAGGCTAAACTTGGTAGGGTACACGTAAAAAAAAAAAAAAAAAAAGGAAAAAAATAATAAAAAAAAAAAAACTATATAAAAGCCGCCGACTGCAATCAAAAATCCATTTACACGTTCACTCGCACGATCCGTGGTTGTGTCCAAAGTGGATGGCCCCTTGGCCGTGGATTGGGGCTTTTGATTTGCTGACAAGCCAACGTCATGTTCCTCATGCATTTGCCCCCTCACTTCCTCCAAAGCTGCCCCCACTCCAAGTCCAACTGTCTTTCCCCTCTGTTTTTTTTTTCTTTTTTTTGGACGTGCAAATCATCATGCGCTTTGTGGGGTCGCCGGAATGGAAACTCCAAATAAAAAGAAAAATAACCGACGAACCTGAACCTGGAACCCTGTACTCTGGTGCGAGGTAACGTGAGTAGATAGCAGCATTAGGGTGTCTCGTGAGTCTGCTGTAATGTGAGTAGATAGGGTTGTTAGATCTTTACCACTTAGTTAGTTAAAAATAAGATCTTAGGTGCAAAGTTCTTGGAATCATAACTCTTAGATGAAAAACTAAAGTCAGTAGACTGAAGCATTAGGATGTTACACTAACTAGCTGATCAGCCATCAGAAAAGCTCATAAACTTTAAAATATTGATAAGAAAACTTCTAGGAATGAGCAACTTTGTAAGCCTGGGTTACGTGTTTTTAGTAAGTATAAATGCCACGTTTTGAAAATTTAAATAAAAACTAATAGACCTTAAAAGCAGCGAGTTAAATGCTTGATATAGTTTATATTTTTAAGTATGAGCTGGCTGTAACTTCCGTTTTACAAACCCCTATCACCCTGAAAATGACGCACTGGAAATCGGAAGATGCTGCCTTACTATCTCAACGGATGTGGGGAATGGTATGTGGTTCCTTTTTTTTTTTTGCTCATTGAAGGTTGAAACGATGCAAAAATAATCATTGCTTTGCATTTTCCTCTAACCGATAACTGCAAAGGGGAAACCTTGAAGTTGCAACTCGTTTAGTGCCGCCTTTTGTTTTTCAATCTATTTTCCTCTCTGGTATTGTTTGCCTTTACCGATTGCCGCATATTTGTTTTTTATTAATGAGAAAGCAATAAAAAAAAAAAGGTAAGAAAAAGTGTAACGTTAAAAGTGTAACGTTACAAGTGTAACGTTACAAGTGTAACGTTAAAAGTGTAACGTAAAAAGTGTAACGTAAAAGTGTAACGCAAACAAAACGGCTTACATGCAAATAATGTATGTTGCTTATCGGCCAGCCTATCTTAATTTTGTAAAGTATATAGTACAGTATAGTATAGCTATATAGCATGTGCCACAATTATCACCCATGTTGATATAGTACAAATTAAGTATACGCCACAGGGACATTCGATTAAGTTAAACCATTGTTTATGTTTCTTAATACCCTTGCCATGGATTTTATTACATTTGTGGCATTCAAAATGCCATAAACTGTATCTATATTGTATTTTCTTTCGTTAATTAACAACTATAAACAATGCGAACTTGACAAGAAGTGAACTTTAGGTTGTTATTATGGAAAGTAATATTATTAAAATATGAAATTTAATATATAATAAAGTTGAAAAGCATTTTGTAGGAAATAAAATTCATTTTGGTCTTAATTTTAGATTGAAAACTTGAAAATAATTTGATTTAAAATGTTAGAGAAGGGATTTTCTTTATAATGCATTATTTTTTACCCTTGCTTAATGAGAGAATGATCCTTTTTGGATGAAGGTCTTAGGAACTAGATGTACATAAATATCCCTTTTAACAAGATAAGAGATATATATTCTACCTTATTATTTGAATAAACCGATATATGGACCACTGAAGATTTGCTTTTTAAAATCGATATTGAAATATCAATATTTCCCAATTTTCTTCAAGCGTAAACTTAACCATTTCGTAAACCGTAAACCTTCTATTAAGTATCTGACAGATTGACAATGACATTCGAAATGTCAAAGCTAAAATTATCAATAGTTCAAAAAGCAAACGCTACATGGGCCATGGGTATATAAGTTCCTTCTTTCCTTCTGCTATATTCCAAAACTGTATTTCAGTCTTCAGACTTTTCTTGCCTTTGCAAATCTCTTGGATCCCAGAGATCTGCCCTTCTCTTTCCTTCTAGCTCTTAAGTTCTTCTCTTGTACTTCTTTTCTTTTGGTTTCTTCTGGTTTCTTCCCCATTTCTTTCTTATTTTCTTCTTTCGTGTTTATGCCGCCACCATGTGTTCCTTGTTTGCGCTAAAATATAGTAAAAGAAAACACAGAAAAAAAAAAATAAGAAAAATCAGAAAAAAATATAAAGAAGAAGTCAGAAAAAAAAGCGTTTCGGCGAAATGAGGTCAACAGACGCCAAACAGTCGGCAGAAAAGTGGAGGGAGAAGGGTGGTGAGGTTTTTGGGGTGGTGTTTTTGGTGGGCTAACTTAGCCACTGGGCTGGTCGACAGTTTATGGTTATTATTGTTGCTGCTGCTGGTGCGTGTCTCTCTGGGCGTCTGTACGGGTATCTCTGCCAAATAGTTGGCCCAGGCCCACCAAGAGAAATAGAATAATAAGAACCCAACCCAAAACCAAAGTGCCCATTCCTCAACTAAGCAACCCCAGCCGCCCCACTCCACCCCATTTTTTCTATATATTCTTTTTTCCTCCCCTCGTAAACAAATGAAGCCAAAAACGCGAAAAACGCGAAAAGCGAAAAGCGCCAAACTATCAGCCGACAAGGAAATGGCCAAAAAACACTTGCTAAGGCAATGTAAGCTGGCCGACATGTGTGTATGCCATAAATATAAAGGCAGCTGGGTCACAGTGCGGGTCATTTAAATAATGATTTATCAAGTTAAAGATATATATCAGGGTTAAAGTTAAATAATATTTAAAAGAGAAATTAATTTTGGATAATTTTAAGGTTAAAATTTAATATACTCTCCTTATTATTTCTTCCTTGCTATTTTTATGACCTCTGCTGTACATCTGGATGGTGGGGTATTAAGTGCCGACTTTTCTAAGGCTGCCCGTTGGAGGTTGGGGGTGTGACTTCTGGCAGCCAAGATCCATGTGAAAAGTTCACTTGTTCATTTTTAGCTAATCGTGTCTACAGTGAAAACTCAATTTAAAAGATAAAAACTTAATCCTTCTATATGATACCTTTAAAGAATAAAGAACTGATTGCTTCAAATTGAGTACCCACTGTAGACAGTAAAGCCGGCTGCTCAATGGAACGTTGAGCGGGCCATAAACATGCGTGAAAATTCAATTGATTTTCCGGGGAGTCAAAAGGGCGGAGTATGCGTATTTATAGAAAATACAGGAAAATACGAGCGATGCCAAAAGAGGGGGAAAGTCTACGAAAAGTAAAAATTGCCCATTTCGGTGTGGGAAACTAAAGGCTGTCTGAATTCGGTTACAGATTCGCATTGGAAAACCGATCTGTGAACTGGAACTGGGATTGGGATTGAGATTGAGATTGCCTGGGCAGCAAGCTGTCTTGCTGGCAAGATACAAAACCACGCAGATACTCAGATATTCAGATAGATTTTGAAAAAGGAAAATGAAAAAAAAAGAGCCAACAAAGTCTTGCAACATAATTTCAGCCAGCAACTAATGAGACCCGAGGCTCCGTAAGTGTTGCCACACAACCTCAACTCCATAGAGCAGAAAGGCAAAAAAAAAAAGATGAAGAAAAAAGCGCGTGGGCGAGCACTTGATTTATTGCCAATTGGATGGCAGTCGCGCAGAAGAATCGCGCAGAAGAGCTGCGAAGATTTTGGGGTGGAGAGCCGCCGCTTTCTGGCCCCACTCGTAATCCCAAATCCGAATCAAAATCAAAAAAAAAAATACTACAAAAAAATAACCGCGTGGGTTAACTCTAGGAGGCAAAAAAATCAAACACGAAGTTGGGGCAAAAAACGCTCACGATGATTTTGCGCATAGAAATCAAAGAGCCCACGCCCCGAGGGCCTTTAAAGTGGAAAGAAGAATCAGCCCACTAGAAGAATTGGCCGGCAAGCAAAAGAGAAGCAGAAAAGGTGAAGAAGAAGATGAAGCAGCCACCTCTGAAGAATCGTCTCCCTGAGCCAGCGATAAATCAATAAGTCCCGAAAATATGGCAACCGCTTCTACTCTGCTGCCACTTTGCCACCGCTCGAGACTCCGACAAATTGCCCATTGGGCTGGGCATGCCACAATCTCATAATGACAGAGGATTGGGCTAAAGATCAGGGGGTTTGGCAGGGAGGATCAACGGATCTGTGGGCGAGCTATGAAAAGTAGCGACAAAAGTTGGACTATAATCATAAGTTCAAGGGGGGGGAAATTTTTGGTATATAACTGAAGAATCAGTTTATAGTATAATACCAAAAACTAGATCCTGTGAAAGTACAAGATCACTTCAATTAGATAACTGGGTTGTCACTTTAATAAAAAATATGCATAAATAAGTAGAGTATGAGAAAGCTTAGACCTCGATCCAGACCAGAGGTGGCAACCACAGATCGGAGATCAGATCCCGATCCCGATTCCGATCCCAAGCCCCGATCATCTCACGCAGATTCCACGGCCATGGCATTAACCCTATTGGTATCGCAGTCACATGGGTGAGATTTATGGAGCAAATACCGTGGTTACCAACAACAGCAACAACAGCAACATTTCCCCCCTGATCTTTTCCCTCGGGCTAAAACCGAGAATTGTGCGAATGAAACTCGTTACTGGGGTTGGCAACAGGCAAAGAGAAAGAGGCAGAGGCAGTGGCAGAAGAGAGAAAGAGAGAAGACTAGGCAAACCAAAGCAGGCCAGACAAAGCCGCAGATGGATCGAACCATTGCCAATACTCGTACCTGCCCCAGTCACCAAAGGTACACTGAAGAAAATAGATTACTTTAAAGATTTTAAGAACTATTTTTTTTAGGTTTTTATAGTATCTAGATCAGAGTTAAGATATGTGTAAAGAAAAGCATAGAAAAATCGAATAAAAAATATGAATACGAAGTTCAAACTTACCTTTTTCTCGCTGTGGATTGCTTGTAAGCTGAAACTGTGTTGGGATCGCTCTCCATCTCCATCTCCATCTCCGGCTTCGTCTTATAGCTATGGCTCCCCTCTCTCTCAGCCTCTAAGTTTGGTACTCCGTCCCTGTTAACCTTCCCGTCCACCTCAATCCGGTCCAAGTGGCTTCTTCTACCAACTTCTCTTGGCGGATCTGCGATCGTGTTGCCTTGGCTGTTGCTTGTTTCTAATGAAAGCTGACGCCGTGCTGGTAATTTAAGTTTTTTTTTCTTTTTTTTCGTTCGGTTTCTTTCTCCCAGCTTCAGTTTTGTATTTTTTTAAAAAACAGTTTGGCTGTTTTTTTTTTTGGGGGGTCTCTTTGCGTGCTGGGAGATCGCCTGGCGATCGGTTTTGTTTTTCTACATTTTTCTTCTTCTTATTTTTTTTGGTTGTAACGATTTTGGCTGGCAGTTTGTTAAACATTTTGGGCCATTCGGGGTGAACCAAATGAAGATCGTATCGTCGTAGCCTTTGGGGAGTTTGCATCTCGCTGGGGAGAAGGGAGAAATGAACCCCGCCGAATGAAATTGATCACTTCTGGTGTTATGGCAACTCTACACGAGATCGGTAACCTTCTTTCCAACGAACGGGGTCACCCTTGGCATTATTTGATCAGCTTTCAAACCATTCAAAGGCCGTTTGGCATTTGCGGCCAAAATGATCTTCATTTCTTGATGGCTTCAGATTGAGATTTTTGTGTTGGCTTTAACGCTTTCCTTAATAGAAATTAAGAAGATGTATGTTTACGATTTATTTCATATTTCCCTCCTTCGTGCCACATCATTTTGCAAACCTTTTCCCCAACTTTTGCCTAATTCTTATTTATGCACCCTGAAAATTCTTGTTTTGACACGGAAAATCGATCATTTGCGGAGTTCTAAATTATTTCTTGGCATTTCCCTGTTCTTCACGTTTCTTCCTCGGCTTTTCCTTCTTTTTTTTTCTGTTTGGTTTTCTTTTTTGGTGCCACAAATTATGGCCTCGGCATTTCCTTTTGCCTTGATTGCGAGCTGTTCACCGCTCTTGGCACTTCGAGGCGTTTGGCTTCGCGCAATTTGGTTGCAACTGCCTCAAAGTTTTTCAACCAAACACAACCATGCCCCATGCCCCCGCTTCAGTCCTCTTGGTTTTTCCAACATTTCCACGCGATCTGCATCTCTTCACCGGTTCTTTTTCACATGCTGCTGCTAGATTTTCGTGGCTCGTTTATTTATTATGATTATTTATTTTG